TTACTCAATTTCATGATCTTTCTTAAGTAGTTATAGGTGTTTTATTAAAATTTAAGCCTCCAAATGATGTTTAGGAAAGTTGAAAATTAAAATACGGTTGAAGGCAATTTTCTTGTTTATATTTTATGCATTTCAAAAACCGGCTGATATTTTTAACGGGTGCCAATTCTAAGTGAGTTATAGTCATGAATAACGCTTATTCTGGTCTAAACTTGCCTAAAATTTTTAAAAGCAACGTTGTACAGATAAAAAAATAGTGATTTGAGGTGTATGTGAAGTTTAAATTTCGGCCTGAAGTCCTGTCGGCTTGAAGTCCTGTCGGCTTGAAGTCCTGTCGGCTTGTTGTCCTAGACCCGCAAAACAGTAGCAGTTTTGTTTTTAAATTGCTTGAAAGGGGGCCTAGGAAATTAGACGAAAAGCAAATTAGACGTGACCGACAAAAACGAATTTAGACGTCGATGCAAAATTACAAATACGGGAAATTAGACGTAATTATATTGTTCGTGTCTGAAATTTGTTTACCGACTACAATCAACTTTTGTTCAGCTTTCTTAAATGCAAATCAACTTTTCACATGCCGCAATTTTCACATTCCCCATTTTTCACATGCCACAATTGTATAATTTATGCATTTCAAAAATGTTTTATAAACTTGAAATTAACATTTTATAAATCAATTAAGATAAAAAGTTTGATATGAAATGGGATCATATAATAATTTTGTAATTATGAAAACTTGTTTTAAGCAATAAGTTTTGTTAGCCCTTTGCTTTCCGTCTAATATGCCAGTTTTCCAAAAACAATTTAACGCCTAAATTCGTTTTTGTTGGTCACGTCTAATTTGCTTATCGTCTAATTTCCTAACCCCCACTTGAAAGATATAGGCCGCAAAGCATGGCAAATTTAACAAAAGAGATTTTAAACAGTTCTTAAATGCAAAATTAGTTACTCAGCTTACAACTTTAAAAAATAATAGCCATTTTTCAAATGTTTTCCATCTGACAAGATCAGAGGAAAAAGAGTACAGTTTAGAACAAGTTATCAAGAGAGTAAATAAAAAAAATTGTAATTTTAATATTTCATGAAGGGCTTTTTGATTAGTTTCTACCAAAGTTAGTTTCTACCTAATCCAGTCATCTACCAAAGATAGTTTAAAATCAATAGTATCAGAATGAAGGAGTCAAAAAAAGACATTTTTTCCGGCAGTGAAAGGAAATTTGACAGCAAACAAGATGAGTATTCCGTGCTAGGAGGAACCAGGTTTATGAATGAAAGGTGTTTGGACACATAGCTAAAATAAGTCAAATAAAAATCAACTTATTAGTAAAATAAGAGCAGCAGAACCTAGTTGAATTTGAGTCTCATTTCACTTTTTAATGTACAGTATATAGGCAAAATTATAATTTTAGATTCTGTAGCTACTATTAACATAACAAAGGACAAACAACGTTTGTTAGTTTAGGTTGAATTAACAAGGTTTTGTGAGCAAATCAGTTTTCTCTGAATCAAAAAGTTTCAGAAAAGTAATGTTACTTACAATTTACTAGATAAAAATAGGTTTCAGAATATAAATGATAATTGCACCTTTGCGAGTTTGAAAAGTTTAAAAAGACAAAAGCTATATGCGGATAGCATCACTAGATCTAAACTTTTTATTCATCAAGACTATGGGTTATGAGTACTTAAGAGAAGGGAAAAAGAAATTTTGTTTTTATTTCATAAGAGAAAGAGCAATTTTGTTTTCAGAAAAAAGACTTCATTGTCTCATGCAGTCTCGCAAAAATTGGCCGAGGACTATGAAACTTTATCTTGAGACTATCCTTTTGAAATGTCGTTTTTGTATGAGTTCTTCGTTATTAGGAAAAATCAAGGAAAGATGGAAGGTTTAATTTGAATGTGGGTAGATGATACTGTGGTTTAAAAGTGCTGAACAGTTTTTGTAGCTGGTTCAAAATTACACAAGATATTGACAACAAACGGATGATAATTAGTTTTTAAAAGAAGGTTGTGGAATGAAAACAGAGTATTCAGGAATTGAACACTATATGAGTCGCTAGAATTATTTCGATAGATTTTTGGAAATTTTTATAACGAATGAAACTTTCATTCGTTATAAAAATTTCCAAAAATCTATCGAAATAATTCTAGCGACTCATATAGTGTTCAATTCCTGAATACTCTGTTTTCATTCCACAACCTTTTAAAAACTAATTATCATCCGTTTTTTGTCAATATCTTGTGTAACTTTGAACCAGCTACAAAAACTGTTCAGCACTTTTAAACCACAGTATCATCTATCCACATTCAAATTAAACCTTCCATCTTTCCTTGTTTTTTCCTAATAACGAAGAACTCATACAAAAACGACATTTCAAAATCAATTTGGTCGACCTAAAAAAAAAAGGTCGTCAAAATTTTGGAAAATTTTTTGAAAATCCGCCCCCTCGAGAAAATCCTAGATCCGCCCCTGAATGAAACGAAACGAATATAACAGAGAGCAGAAAAATATAGACAAAATTAAGTGAAGGTTTTTTTGTATTTAAATCACTTTATTTGTCAAATTGGCCCGCTATTAGTTAAGCAGCCAACTGCCATAAAAAGTTATGTGAAAAAAACTAGACAAACAACCTTGAAAAAGTAGAAAAAAGTTTTTAGATTTATACTGTCAACTAAAAATATAAGTAAGCTTTTCAGAAGAGAAAAAGAACTGGATGTTGTTCGTTTTTTAGACTCCTGACTGGGCTAGAAACTAAGACAAAAAATTCCGATTTTGTTTTAAATTTAGCGACACCTCTGGCGTTATATGTTGTTTTAATCGAATTTAGCGTTGTGTATCAATTTCTTCAGCCGACAGCCGACACAATGAGGTTATTTAAACAGTAAAAAAGGTAGTTAATTTACACGGATTACGTATTGACTGAGACATGAGATCTACCATTTTTTGTAGACGATCAGGATTTTATTGCCTAAGTAGGCCATCGATTAGCCTCGGGAAGACCAATCAGTTAAACTAATAGCTAATTTTTCTTCAGAAGGTAGATAATGGAAAAGTTAATCACAATCAATTTATTTACGGCAAAAAGGTCAGCAATGTCTGCAGGTGCTTTGACCAGGAACTTGGAAAGCTGTAACAGCTGCTTTTTTCGAGAGGTTGAAATGCAGGGTTTTAGTGTCTTCTAACTCTCGAAACTGGAATTGTTCTTTCTGCAGTTCAATCTTTTCAGTAATTTTTAGGTGGTTGATCAAATTAGTTATGAGCGACTTTGTTTGGGTGGTTCTCAATTTATGTTTGATTCAATTAGCTGCTACAATTTTCAACATATCCCATTATGTCATGATTCTCTAAACTTGTTTCTTGGTGCAAAATTTCAAGATTGCCTCCATCTATAACTTGATTATGTCGACCGCAGCTTGCGAGGAGCATCAAAAACTTCGCATTCTACAAAATGCCTTTCTCAGATCAGACATTTTTTTAGTTAGCTTTGTTACGAATCAAAATCGAGAATAAGGAGAACTCAACTAAGAAGAATTGCGTAAAATAACTGAGTCAGGTATTTTCAAAATTTTAATTTTTTACGATACTTTTTTTTTGCTGTTCTGATGAACGCGGAGTAAATCATATTTTTATAGTTTTTTTTATTTTAACCAAAATTTGGTTTTTCCTTCTGCTACTGCCTACGAATTCAAAGTTTGATTTCATAAACTGGTCCAAATTGGAACGCTAAACACAGCCGAGGCAGAACAGAAATCGGTTAATGAAATAAAAATGGTTTTTCGAGGTTCAAATACACTCCGCGTCATAATTTTTTGTTCCATCTTAATACATGGTAAACACTTGTTTAAAGACAAAAGTTGGCCAACACTTTTCGTACCCTAGGTTTTTGTTCAAAAATGTCACGAACTGCGCGCAAATGGTTCTGTTTACGATTGATACAGCAGGTACCTGTCTTAACTTGATTGACAGTCAGTGTTTCACATGTACTCACGCGAGATTAACGAGTTAGCGAAAGAAAATTTTGCAAATGGTTTTTCATATCGCCGAATCAGCCAAGAACTGAATTTACCAAGATCAGCAGTGCATTATATGATCAAGAATGATTTCTCAAGAGTGAAAGCAAAGCGAGGACCCAAGCATGTGGCCATTGGCTTCAAAAATCTGTTTAAAACGATGCATTGCTCTAGTGAAAAAACGCAAAGAAAGGGTGACAGCCTCAAAAGTCCTGAGGGAGACAGCCCTCATAAGAAGCAGAAGAACGGTTCATCGGGCCTTATCAAGAATGAGGTGTAGGTACAAAATGCAAAGATCACGATAATTTTGACCAAAAAACAGAAAGAAAACTGAGTACGCCTCTGCACTGAATGGTTGACTAAACCAAAAAACTGGGATGAAGTCGTCTTTACGAATGAAAAAAAAAAATTAACCCAGACGGACCCGACAACTGATGCTCCTGGATGGAGGAAAATCACCAATTTTACCTCAATAAACGTCAATGTGGGGGTCGTTGCTAATGGAAATAAAGTTTCTTACTGATTTTTTTTGAACATTTCTGAAGTGGTACGAAAAAACTTGGCACACTTTTGCGTTGAATTGATGAAATTACATGTATTAAGATGGTACGAAAAATGTGACGCACAGCGTAGGACCCTTCCTATACGGTTTGACTCTTTCGCATCGAAGTTAATCTTGATTTATTCTGGAAAATAGTCATATCAAAAAACAATGACAGTCGAAAAAATTAGCACCTAATTTTTTACCACAGTTTTTAATGTTTTTTGAGGTGAAATGAGTGACACGCAGATTACAACATGCTTTCTGATTAATGTAATCCAAATCAGGCCTATAGGTCTGTAATATGCTACCACGCTTCGAGTTTTCCTCGAGGTAGTCAAAATCGGCCGAAAAATGCACTCGATACTATATTTTTTTCCAATCACTTCGTGATGTGGTCGAAACAATAACTAATTCCAATAAAACTACATGCACTGGTTTTTTGTTTCAGCTAATCAACATGATAACAGTGACATGCATAATCATCTCCATCTGCTCATTTTGCGCGGGAACCCACGAAGCTTTCGTAGAGACAGTTTCAATAGAGGAGTTCTCGACGTCTTCAACTAGTCGTGGGACTCAAAACATGACAAGCACAGATTTCAGCTACAGAGGGGCGGAGTCTACACTTCAGGAGGAAGTGGAAGTGAAGTCTGACAAGAGGTCACACAGTGTACTTTTCGTAATCGAGTGCCTTTGCAACAGTTGGTTCACGTTCGAACTCTTCATGCGGTTCTTGGTCAGTCCTCAAAAGCAGAAGTTTGTACGCGAAGGAGTCAACATCATCGACTTCTTAGCCACTGTGGATTTCTATATTGAGGTAGTTCAACGTATGATCAAACTAACTGGACTCTATAAGGACTGCCTGGACGTCTTGTCAATCATCCGGATACTCAGGATATTCAAACTCACCAGACATCATCCTGGCCTCAAGATTCTCCAGTTAACTTTAAAAGCTTCGGCCAGGGAACTGTTCCTGCTTATTTTGTTCCTCATATTCGGAGTGGTGATCTTTAGTGCGATGGTTTACTTTGCCGAAAAGATGGAACTGAAGGCACAGAAGCACAAGAAGAATGATTTCCACTCTATTATTGATGGGTTCTGGTGGAGTGTGGTTACTATGACAACTGTAGGCTACGGAGACATGGTACCCAAAAGCTACTCAGGTATGATTCTTTGACCTACCAATGAAATGCATATGCATTTAGGCATTGATTTAAACGCCATCATTGTTAGACCACATCAGCGTGCTTTTCTGATTTTGTAGAACGTGCAACTTTACATAAATTCTTTACGTGCAACTTTTCATAAATTGCTATAAAGAGAGTAGAGTTTTGAGGCTTGTATAGTTTTCTGGAACAACAATCAGTTTGTAATTTTCTAAAAAAAACTTCCGAATGGCTATTTTGTTGTCTACGTAATCTAGCAAAAGCAGCAGCGAACTCAAAGTTAGCTTAGACCAAATCGGTTTTTTTTTTTATTTTGCTAATCTTATTTTAAATCCTATGAATCATATGACTTCAATAAGTCTCTTTTAGCTTCATCTGTTTAAAAAAAGAACAATTATTAACTTGCTAGCTCAATGATTGCGTAATGAATTCGATCTACATGAATGCGAAGTACCAAATGTCAATTACACTTGTCTTCCCATTTATTTCTCATATCCCAGACTATGAACAGGTATCACTTTTAATGAGGTCGTCTTTTCATTGGAATATGACCCAGATAGTATTCGGGAAAAAATCAGATTTAACATTTAATGAGTTATTTTTTTAAATGGCCGTATACTTTATTTTTTAGCTCCAAAATGCATTTTCGTCAAAACTGATAGAATAAAAGCAAGCATGATTGTTGAATTGATTGGTCAGTTTAAATTGGGTTTGTAAGCACTTCAAGTACTGAGAGATGGACTGAAAGTAAAAACTGAAAGATGGACCAGCCATGCAGGAATGATTTCATCGCGGAAATTTCGCCGTTGAAAGAGATTGATTAGTTTTTACCTGGAGACAGATTAAAATTTGAAATTTTCCTGATAAATCATCATCAGTTATGGCAGTTATAAATCAATGTTAATATTCAGTCTATACTGTTATACCTTTGTTCTTGCATTAACTCTCATTCTAATGTTTGAAAAAGCTGATTTAGGACTTATTAATTCGAAACTGTCGCGTGATATGCTAGATTTCTTCGAAAAGCTATACTTGAGTGACCACTGGTTTTTAGAGGAATGTTTTTGGAAAAGCATTTCAGCAATTAAACTTAATGAAAACTCTGTTTCAACACTGTTTTAATCAAAAGTAAAAGAGTAAAAGAAAACTTTTAAAAGAAGTACAAAAGTAAAAGAAAACTTTCTTCCAATGTTTGATTCAAAAAATAAAGAGTATCAATAAAAGTTAAGATATTGGCTTTACACAAACTGGATAAAACTTAAAAAAATGCATCTTATTTTTTTCTTCGTAAGCACTGCAGGGTTTTGAACCCTCTAAGTTTTTTTAAAATTTGTGGCAATAGTCGCAAAAAAGAGTCAGTTTTTGCAGGAACGCTTCTTCTTACCAGCTACGCACAATTTCCACATATTAAGGTAAATTATGATGAAGCATAATTGGATTCCAGTGTGCCATCTTTGTTCAGTGTTTGTACTTTAAGCAAACCTAATCAAGACCGCTTATTGTTGGTTCTAAAGAGATGATGGTTGTGAAGTTTCTCGGATTCGCAACAATTGTTATTCAAGAAAAATTGAACATAATTATGAGCGCTTGTTCTTGCATTAAATCCAAAAGTTGGACGATCATATCATAAGATTCTTTTCTTCTTTTTCAAATGCCAGGGATGTCAAATTTTCAAGGCCAAGGCTCAAGTTTCAACTGTATTTTTTTAAGATTATTCTGAGGCCCAGCTCATCATTTTTCGTCATAAAATTCTGCCAGAGATTTATGAAGAAAATTTTAATAAAAATTTACAAAAAAGCTATCTGTTGTCATGTTATTTAGTTCAGATAGAATTTGTGACTAGTAAAACATCTGATAAGTTTTCTGATAAAATTTTAAGCAGTTTCGCAAAATATTCAAGCAAGCAGAAAAATTTATAATTCTTTTCTTTCTAAATGGTGTCTTTGTTAGTTGAGATTATAATTTTGATTTTTTAAAATCCTTTTTCTCCAAAAAAACTATCTTTTCCTTTTTTCATATAGAGAGAAAAAACCAACAAAGCAGCTGTTCATTTTGTGATCAACAATTGTCATCATGTCGTCATCATTATCATTTATGTTGTTCTTTATCGACTCCTCTAGCATTAAGGGATTAGGAACAAACTAAAACAACCTCTCCTTCTGTAGTAAAGGTCAAGGAGCAATTTTGTTTGATTCTAGCTGGAAGTTATCGATCAATAATTATCGAACATTTCACACATAAACAAGAATAGAGTATTTTACATATTCAATTGCATGGCAGGATGTTAACTGATCTAGGGATTAGTAAAAAGGGGCAATTCCTTATGCTCTTGATCCATGATTTAAAGCAAAAATTATTAAAAATTACAGGAATGCTGGTGGGTATGCTGTGCGCTCTGGCGGGTGTGTTGACAACCTCCCTGCCCATCCCAGTCATAGTGAGCAACTTCACCATCTTCTACCAACACATGGAGGCCAGGAAGAAACTACCCAAGAGGAGACGGCGCATCCTGCCTGCCACAGTGGAGAAGGTGCAGAGGTCAGACCAGCAGAATAGAGCCAACAAACAGGCCAGGAACAGACGGAGTATGTTTTATTTTATTCCGTTTCAATTCTTTAAATGTCAGTGAACCGAGTCAAGACACTTATATGGGTTGTATTGATTTTTTTAGTAAGAAAAAATCTATAAGTTTGTTCAGACCAATTTTGGTCTTTTGTATTTCTTTTGTTCTTTTTTTAAGTTCAGTTCAAATGCATTTGCTGAAAGGAAGGTAAAAGCGGAAAGTGGAACCTGATCTAAACTATATTTTATGATTGGATAAATTAAATGTTTTACCAATGTAAAGTATTTAATATTAACCAATCATGATCCATCTAACTAACAACCCACTTATTTGTAAGTGCTGAAGTTACTTGTAATTTCAGCACCAGAGAGATTTGAATTTAACTTAGAAATTAGTTGGACTCTCCCGAGCACTTCAGCAGCCGCAATAAACCAGTATACCCTAGATCTATTGAGCCTAGCAGAGACTAGTTAAACAACCTGAGACTAGATAGTATAAGAGTAAGATTAGGATCGGTATTAGACTAAGAAGTTGCACGAATCTATCCGGCCGAAAATAAGATAGCGTGACGAGCAGACGGTGTACCCTATCCGAAATTACTCTATGAGTTATACACCCCAGTCTTAACTCATCTGGTGCGACCATAAGTCTCGAACAAGACCTTACTAGATTAGAATTAACCAAAAATAGATTAGAAATTAGACAAAAACATTTACAAAATGTTATACGACAATAATTTAATTGAAATGTCTCTCCGACTCAATAGATCAGAGCCAATATTCCGAACCATAATAGAACTACCCGGAATTGGAAGAAGACCTCGAACCAAAGACGACATACGACAAAGTAGAAACTTGCCGTATAGTTATATGATAGTTCGGCAAAAGCCAGAACAAACTTTTATATTTCGAATACTACTTGCAATGAATTTAGATTTCCATTTGCAAACATAAAACCTTGAAGTTACTCTTCAAAATCATTTCAGGCGCTAAACAAAATTAATATTATACAATAACGATTGATAAAAAGATCTAAGATCGTTTTCCTAAAACTCTGCAGTAATATACAAAACATGTTTGAAAAATATTTATTGGAAAATAAAAATAAAAATTAGTAGCATGACAATAAATGGTTAGTAATCATAAATCATCCTGTTGTTCCAGCTTCATCACCTAAAACATAACAGCAATCATCAACTCACTAATATCATCAAAACACTAAATTTTTCCTTTACACAAATTTAAAACTTTATCAAAATTTAAAGTCACTTAATTTTAAAACCAGATCATCAAGGCTTATCCTTGGATCTTAAATCATTTTCTACTTAATTAAATTTTAAACTTGATCATCAAGGCTTATCCTTGGATCAAACAGAACAACTTTGTTCTCCCCCACCCACTTAATTAGTGTCTAACGACCTCAAACGTCGATTCACTATCCAACCCTCTCTAAAAACCCAAGACTAATAGAAATTTTTTAACCAAAACTAATCATTCAAATTAGGATAAACAGTGAAGAACTTCGGTTATTCATCCTTCACTTGACCCCCCCTCTTACCAGACCCAGGATAAATCTTAGACTTAGTAAGTTTAAAATAGTATCTAACGAACTACTCGCGTTCTAATTATACCTGAACCTTGTGGATCGATTTACTATTCTCCAACCCTTGAACACAATCACTACCCCTAAGTAAGATTAAGTAAGTTAACACCTTAGCTTATACTAGTCACGAGAAAGTAAAAATCATTCTTCGGAATCGATATACTTTTCTCTCCAACCCTGAACAAAAAGACCCAGGTTAAGCTAACCAAAAAATCGTAAGAACTAACAGTTTAAGAAAATAGAAATCATTTAACAACCTTTGCATCCGTCATTCTAAACCTTATGTCATTTAAAAATCTAGGAAATAAACAAACAATCATTTTACACAATTGTGAAATAGATAACAAAAAATACGACCTTGTAATCACACCTCATACACAAACAGTTGGATACATTCGAACAAAACGACAAACACTAAAGAGGAAAATAATAACTAAACAAAGACAAATAACACGAAAAAGATTTTCAAAAAATCGAAACGCATTTTCAGAATCAGAAACCAACAGTTTAGACGAACTTTACAAACTAAAAGAATCAATAGATAAAAATTACCCACAACACGATCAATTATATTTTTCTGACTCAGAAACAACTTCAAATTCATCACAAAGAGGAAAAAGAAGAATAAAAAAACAGTATAAACACAAACCAGTACATTTATACAATTGGAATCAACCAATTCGACACATTAATAATTACATATTAACAGTCATCGAACGAAAAAATGAGTTCAACACACACCCCAGGTGACGAAACTCCAGATGATGATGAAATCTTTCCCTTTATAGTAGATGCAGATACTGATAGAGGACAACACATATTTTGTCAAAATTTACTCGTAAATTTATTTGAACCCGGAATCAGTCCATGTAAAACAGAGTTCCCCGATGTAAAAATCAAAAGACAAATCATAGATCACTATCTAAAAGATATATGCAACATAACACAACAGTATGGAATCTACTCTATAGAATTCACCTCACCAAACCATAATAATAGAACATATACTATACAAACAGACGATCTTGATTTAGAATTTTCAAAAGTTTTTTCAGAATATATAAAAAGCATCCAATACCATAACTCACAAAGAGCAAACTCCATATTCACCAATGAAGTTTTCGCAATAATATATAGTTATATTTCGATATTAGAAAATGAACTTCCATTAACAAATGTCTCACCGACAGAAACATCTAAACATTTAAGAGTACGGCATGAAATTACACTACTCTCTAGTTATTTAAACATCATTAAAGAAAATTTCACGAAAGACGATGTTTCACAACATACCAAACACGATTTACAAAAAATTTTGGCATGGTTCATAATAGATTATTTCACACACAATATTGATTTAATTGCACAAGCAAGAAAAAATTTTAGACCCCAAAATTCGAACGATGATACCGCTATCACAGAACAATCAGATTATGTTTGGGACCCCGAATGGTCTCATCCCGCATTTATAAGCTTTCCACAATCAATCTCAAGTCAAGCAATAGGTACAATATCTTACATAAGAGATTATGTAAGAGTAATACCATTAACAATTGATGCAACTCCATTAAACTATAATACATTTTTACCCGATACACAAAATAATAGTTTAAACTCTACAGTCATACACAACGAAAACCTCAATGGAACTAGGAATCTTACTCAACAAGATATCCAGACACCATCACACTTCACAAATGAAGAAATTGTACACACAACAACTACACAACAAAGTATTTCACCAATACGCCCAAATTTAATAACACCAAGAAATACAAATCCTTCACAAACACAGGTAACCTTACAATCAACCGTTAAACCTTCGGTTGCCCCTAAATATTCACATATGGATTACCAAACATACAGACCCATGACAATACCATCAAAAACACGCAAAACATTCACTAGAAACAACTTTGCAGACCATAATTATAATTATACACATCCATCAAAAACAAATTATCAACCACAAAGGAATTTTAACCAATATACAAAACCTCGAAACTGGGATAACCCAACAGCCCAATATAATTCCAAAAATTTTCAACCAAATCCTCCACAGGATCGCAGTGAAAATTACCCATTTTTTCAACAGAATAAAAATAAAAAACAAACATCTTATCAAATGGATTATTTATCCTCAGATGACGATTTCTTACAACCAGATATATTTGCACCAAATACTCAAGAATATCGTAGACAAGGAATACAGAGAACACGTACAAATCATAGAAATTTTTCTCCACAACCAATAGATGCACAACATCAACAACCAATTCAACAACAAAATCTAATTAATACACAATCTTTTCAACCAATTCAACAACAAAATCCAATGACTGCACACTCGTATCAACCATCACAAATGCAAAATGAAATACCACTCCCATATTATCTTCAACAACATGAAATAACAAGAAACCAACTTTCAAATTTTTCTCAAATGCCAAATGCAGCAGAATCATTACAAATGACAATGAATCCATACCTTATGGGTGGATCATCAATAACATCAAACAAACTTTTAATGGTTTTCACAGGAACAGATCCTGAATACTCTGTAGAAGATTATCTAAATGCAAAAACAGCAAATTTGATTTTAAACATTGGACCTGAACCAATTAATACGCCACTACACCAAAACTGGATACATCGACGCACAGCGTTAATACAAACAACTTTAGATGGCGCAGCCCAAAAATGGTTTTCAGTACTACCTCTAGAAATAAAATCAAACTGGAAAAGATTTACACAAGAATTTTCAAAAATGTTTGACTCCGAAAGAAACAAACAACAACAAAGAGTTTTATGTAATGAAATTCGCAGATTACCAAACGAAACCATCAAGCAAATAGCAGTACGAATCGAAACACTAGTTCGAAAAGCATATTCACTAAATACACATGACTATAAAAACACAAAGATGACAGAAATCTTAATGATGACCTTAACACCACCATTAAGGAAAATAGCAATAAAAAAGAGAGCATCTCATCCTTCTTCAATTCGAGAACCCGATTTAGATTTTCGAAAACTAGTAGACAAACTAGAACAAGCAGAAATCACGATGAAACTAGAAGAAACGGAAAATCTGAAATTACAATACGTTAACAAAATTGAAACGACTTCCACTAATATTAATAATATACAGGAATCAGAAACAGACCTCGTTGAAAAAATCACTGAAATACTTAATATTTACGAAAAGAACCCAAACTTTAAAGGCAAACCATCTTTCAAAAAATGGTGTAATTTTTGCCGACGATACGGACATAGTATTTCCGAATGTAGACAAAAACAGCAAGATAATCAAAATAAACCTCAAAAATACAAAGAACCAAATAAATCATTCTATCAATACATGAAAAAAGATCAAAATTTACCGAACAAAACAGTTCACAGCAACAACAGTTCAGGAAA